CCCCCCTCCCCCCCCCTCCTCCGCCAAGCACACATGCCTTTCACAAGTTTCTCTGCGGATTTGGGCTCCTCTCAGCGAGCGCAGTCCAACCCCATCTTCAAAAAAAAAATAAAAAATTCCTGGCATGTTCTTTGGCTCGTCTGGTTTTGCCGGACGGACCCCCCCCAGTCCGTCTGGCCCAGTCCATCAGGCCCGGTCCGTCTGGACCGGATGTTGGCGTAACCCAGCTTTTTTTATCGAGTGAATTCTCCTCCGTCCTTGGCCCCCCTTCCTCTACTTTGATACAATGTGATGCTGTGGCACAATCTGAAGCTTCAAACATGGCCCTGTCAAGATTGAAACTGTGGAATACTCATACCTGGGTGATTCAAAAAGAAAACAACAAAAAAGGTGGAGAAAAGAGTGATTCAAAAACAAAAACAAAAACAAAAAAAACGATGGAGATGACGTACCTGCCTTGTTGGCAGATACTTCCGCCGATAGTCAAAGATGGCTCGATCGTCCAGCGCATCAACATTCGTAGCTCCATTCCGCAGTTCGACCTGGCCAAAAAAGCCACGAAACGCAAATTATCAGCTTATGTAATACCTTGGTGCAACCGGAGGAATAGAGAATGCGACAGCCGACAAGGCATAATCGAAAACCGCAGTAATCCAAATCTGAAGAGGCAAATCATTGGCTTACCTCTGTGGGTAACAGCACAACTGGCTTGCCGGCTTGATCAGGCCCACCTTCGATAATGATGGCGGTAAACTCTTTTCCCCCCTCCGCATACACCTGCACCATTACCCTTTCATCTAATCCCTGTAGGCAAAGACAAAAAGCACCACCATGAAAGAATATCCTCACTGATCCTTTCAATGTACGTTTTTGGGATTACTTGCATCTGTTCATACCTTTGCCACAGATTCGCAATGACGAATCATTTAATCATTTTAATGCCATGGGAGGAGAGCAAACTGACAAGTATTCACAGTACCATTGGTGCTACAATATCTGCACTGTACAGAAGTTCCCTGGATGCAACCGTAAGATCAAAGGTAACATCACACTTCATACCAACGATAGCAAACATATAGCAAGCAGTCCAAGAGTATACCCTGCTGTTGACTGTAATTTATGCCCTCAAATTGCTGAACCATAAATCAGAGGAGACCCGAACTCTGAACATTATGGGTTGTTGGCACCTGTTGCCTTTCCAAACCATACAACGGCGGCATTCATGACCGCACACCAAAGAGATGCTGCAACAGTAAATGATGGAACCAATGAGTGAAGAGATGAATGCTGTATGAACAACGTAACGACAAGGGGGGACCGTTCCCCTTAGTTGAACTGCATATCTACATAGTGCGGCCGTAGGTCACCCCAGCCCACTTAGCCTTATGGTTAGGTGTTTGCCTGCCGAGGCGTTGGTTGTGTGTTCGAGTCTTGTATTCGGATTACACGAACATGCAGCTGCATTTCATGGGTCTGGACTCTGCATGGCTGAGCCGTAACCAGATCGTTCCGACAGGGTCTGGAAAATGGGCCAGAAAATAATCCCCTAAGGTAGTATACTAGTATCTGTCCTGGACAGTTTGATATATCTAACTTAAAAAAAAAAAACCGTGAGCAGACATACTCAGGCCGTGAGCCGACACACTCAGGCACTTCGTTCCAACTTGGCCACATGGTCCAGTAGCACCATGGCAACCCCCAAAATGCCATCCAATGTCCAGCCGCGTTACATAGCTGTATACGTGAATCTTTGAGCAATGGTATCACAAAAAGGTGTCATGGTCGCAAACATAAGAATTTATGAAAAAACGTTCTGAGATTACGGCATACCAAACAATCCCTTTCCAAGGGGGGACCAAAAAGGAAAGGGTTCCCTTTTCAAACTGCACATAGGCATCCCTGAAACCCATCAGAATCAGAACGGAATCAACAGATACACAATGCCCGTTGATGAACGGTATCCACTTTGAGATGTTAGTCAGTAAGTCATTGAGAGCATTTGGATGAAAGTTATGAAACAGACAAATTACAAAAGACTTAAAAAGTTCGATTTTGGGTGACTATCTCTAGAGTCTGGACAGATGTTATTTGGAAGACTTCAAAAACTGCTGATCACAATGACATGAAGGGCATACTCACCCTAGGACTTCTTTTTCACTTATTTCTCGATGTAACTGTGGTCACATACATCAAAATAGGGCCGTAATTAGTAATTACGCTGATTATTACGGGGCCATACGGGCATATCATACTTGCGGCGCACTTCTGTGGTGCGCATGCGCCATGCGCAAATTTTGATGCGCTCAATTTTTTTTTTTTTTTTATTTTTTTTTTTTTTAGGGGTGTATGTG